CATAGAGGATCTCCTACAAACTCCGAGACGGGTCGTTTTTTTTCTATTTATTAATACAAAGATAGAGGTGTTGAATGAAATAATTCATTATAGATGATTTTATTGCACATTTGCTACATCATAATCCTATGAAAATTACAAGTTGCAAAATGTGCCTCCACTAACATCATGTACAAAAGTTGTCATGGACCGGTGCAAAAGTTCGTTAGGACCAGTGTCACAAATTCTTAATTTTGTTTTCCCTTTTTTATTAGATACGGTGACCATTCAAAATATTAGTTCGACTAAGTGGAAGATCAACTAAAAGGAAGATCACAAAAAAAAAAAAAAAAAAACACTATTTTGCTAAGTTAGAAAATCATGAAATGACTAGTATGCTTATTAATTATATATTTCACTTGTTTTGTTGTTGAAAGACCAAAACAATAACTTATTTAAAAAAAAAAAATTGTAAGACTAGGTACACAAAAACCTTTTATCGTGAGAGCAATAACCGTCGCCCCTGCCGGAACCAAGCAATCCTTCATAGTCCCCCGGAGCAAACCATCCATACCGAAGGCCAAACAAAACCTTCAACAATTATGGTTTTTGAAATCTTAAGAAAATATGAAAAATCGAAAAGATTTTTTATAACTATTGAACTTTTTTTGAACTTCTTTCGGGAACATGTCATTAAAAAGTCTCCATGTGCACGTAGTTGTGTCATTATGTTGAAGAGTCGACGATTTAAGGATATCATGAATATATATATATATATATATATATATATATATATATATATATATATATATATATATATATATATATATATTCTTTTTGAAAACTATCGAATCCAGAAAATAAACCTGCAAGTATTGATTTTTTGGATGGTTGGTCGACATTTGCAGATCGATTTTGTGGGTAAGTTTTCGACATGCGATTTTTTTTTATAACAAAAAATAGACATCTTGGTGTTGAATTCTTGCTTTTTTTTTTCGACACTAAGATATCGATATTTGACTATTTTCCTTTTTATTTTCTTTTGGCAATATATCGACACGCAAAATATCACATCCTTTAACAATTGGGCTTGAGGCCCAATTGGCATGGCTTAGGTCAATACATGACTGAGACGATTGAGTTATTTAATGGGCCCTATTTATAATGCTCATTTTGTCGAGCTAGCCCATTAGGAACAATTTTTCTTATGTATTTATTTCCAAAAAAAAAAAAAAAATTGGCTAAACGTATTTTAAATATTTAATTTTAAGAGTTTATAATCTATGCTGATATTTTGATGAGTTTATAAACTTCAAATATACTATAAATTAGATAAAATATTAGTTTATTATGAGAACTATTTTTTAATTTATTTTTTAAACATGAAGAATTATTAATTACTTAAATATTGCATTTATTATATATCCATTTGTCACCAAAATTGAAAAGAAGTGATAATAAAAAACCCCTAACTAAAACCTCCGCTTACGTCTCTCTCACACACAGTAAACACACACACACACAATGTATCCACCTGCGCCACCATCCTCGGCGGTTTCGCCGATTCAGCTGGCGGTGGCGGCGCTGTTCGGCGCCTCCGTAATGGCCATATCCGCATTCTACATCCACAAGCGCAGCGTCGATCAAGTCCTCGACCGCCTTCTTAACCTACGCCGCAGCCGCCGCCACCGCCAACTCCCCGACGACGAAGAACTCGAATTCTCGGATTATAATGAAAATGCGGAGACTGATAATAACGTTTCTATATGGAGAAGTAATAATAAGTTTTCAGGTTCATTTGACGATCGTATTGAGGATAGTGGTGGTGGTGTTTCATCTTCTATCCCCGCCGCGAGTTTTCCGAAGAGCAAGCGATCTGTGGAAGCTGGTATCGCTTCGTCTTCGGCGAATTCGGATTCATTGGAAAATATTCATTTGATTTCTTCTGATTTACCACCAGTTCGGATTGATCAAAGGGACGGTATGCAATTTTCTCCCTATTTTTTCCCCCAACTGTGCATATTGTTTCGTAAGCATCTCTGTAATTGGCCTTTTCCTGATGCTGTGTTGAATTAGAGTGCTTGGATTTTCTGTTCCTATGGTTTTGGTTTGCTCTTATGCGATTTATTAGACTTAATTTGTAGATTCAGTTGTTTTATGTAAATTTACTATTTGCAGGGGAAGAGAAGCATGCCAGCCATTCTGGTACAACTATGCGGGTTGGATCAGCTGGTAGGCTTGCTACCCCGAGATCAGCAGGTAGTTATGCATTTGACAGCGCAGGGGATTCGGATGATGAAGGAACTGAACTTGAAGCTGAAGACGACCAGGTATTATCGTATAAAAATTGGAAATGTGAAATTGATCCCATAGTTCATTTATGTATAATTTTCAATTATTTCCAATTTCACAAGTATACGAGAATACATAGCCATTGAAAATGAAGTTTTCGTATGATTCGAGGGAGGTGGGTGTTGCATATGTAATGATAATTGCATTCAAAAGGTACTTCTAGAAAATAACATGGGAAGTACGTGCCACTTCCATTGACTCATTAACCTGCTTTGCGAATAGCATGAATCTGTAAGCATATTATTGATACTAATGATATAATCTCTTGAACAAGAAGGTCATTTTCTAATTTACATCACCTGTTCTCCTTGACGACTTAGCGCTTTTCATTGGTAGCTTGAATCTATACGCACACTGGTAAATATTAGAGGTCTACCAGACCAATCATGGCTATACTGATTTACACAACTCGTTCATTTTAGCCGAACCTGGTTTTTGATCTATATAATGAATTATAAACTTTTATGCTGGCATTCCATCCCCTGTCTGTCATATTTCTCATGTATCGATGTTTCTTTTCTTTCTTTTCGCTTTTAGTTCAGTTATATTTGTTCATTAGTGTTGCCCATCAGCGTGTTTCTGTGATTTTTGCAGGATATGAATCTAACTACTCAAGATCAGCACATTATTTCAGCACAGGCTGAAAATGGGAATTATATGCATGTTCAAGAACCTGAAGTGACAGTGTATGAAGCAAAGTCTAATACAGATCATGCTGATAGAAAAGCAGATAGAGATTCCACAAGCATTCTGTCTAATAACTACGTTAATAGCAACAGTATTTTGCCACCGATAGCTACATTGCAAGGTATTTCACCTTCTTTTTCCTCAAAGATTTTGGACGATCTGTTGCCTATTTGCCTTCATGATACTTCTTCATTTTTACCCTGTATGCTTGTCCTCTACCGTGGTGACGTGTGTGTTACTAGGTTCTATATCTGATGCTCTTCGAAATATGTAATCAGAGTCGGTGAGTGCTGAAGAACAAGAAGTGCTGAAGATGATTCATGACTGTTTAGATTTGAGGGATAAGTACATCTTCAGGGAAAATGTTGCTCCGTGGACAAAAACTGTTGAAAAATCTGATTTAGCAGAGGTCAAGAAAGATCCATTTTACTTTGCCCCCACTGAAGCATCTTCCGTGAGTTGTCCTTCATTCCTCAATTGCATTCAGAAGCTGTCAAGTCATTTATTAAATGTCAGCTAATTTATCTGGTTTATTCTGATTGTAAGCAGCATTTCTTCAGAATGGAAGATGGTGTAGTGCGTGTTTATGGGAGTGAAGGGGGTAAGCTTTCAGGAGGCTAGTCTTAGACAAAATACATGTGCATAGATCTTTCTTTTCTATGATTTTCACAAATTTTTTTTGAATATTTTAGATACTGAAGAACTTTTTCCTGTTGCGAGTTCGACGACGTTTTTCACTGACATGCATCATCTCCTTAAAGTGGTTTCCATTGGAAATGTTCGCTCTACATGTCACCACCGATTACGGTTTCTTGAAGAAGTAATATCCTTAATACCAATCTTTTGTATTCATATTCTGTCATTTATGTGGATCAGTAGTAAATTTTATCCGATTACAGAAATTTCGTCTTCATTTGTTGATGAATGCGGATAGGGAGTTTGTAGCTCAGAAAAGCGCACCTCATCGTGATTTCTACAATATAAGAAAAGTCGACACTCATGTGCATCATTCTGCTTGCATGAACCAAAAGCATCTTGTCCGGTTTATCAAGTCGAAGTTGAGAAAAGAACCAGATGAGGTATTAATCATAAAATGGTTTTACTCAGTGAGGCTCTATGTCTTCAACTGCTGTTGACATGAGTAAGTCATACGTGTAGTTTTGGTAAGTTCCTTCCTTTGATAATCTTATATCATGCTATATTTAATCTGTTGCAGGTGGTTATATACCGTGATGGACAGTATCTTACATTGAAAGAAGTGTTTGACAGCTTGGACTTAACAGGGTTTGCACTGCCCTTTTATTCATTCAATATTTTCTCCCAAGGTTTTAGCTTTTCATAATTGTTGTTTTTGTGGGCGCTCAAAATGCAGATATGATCTTAATGTTGATTTATTGGATGTGCACGCTGACAAGAGTACCTTTCATCGATTTGATAAATTCAATCTCAAGTATAATCCTTGTGGACAGAGTAGGCTTAGAGAAATATTTCTGAAACAAGACAATCTTATTCAAGGTATGTTGATAAGGAATAATGTGAACACGTGGAACTAATTGATTTTAAGTGATTTCTTGACAATATCTGATGATTATATGGCAAACTTGTTGGAAATAGTAATTAGCTGAAAATATTGTTCTCCTTTGTCTACGCCTATGCGACACATATGGGGACTGTAAATCTTCTGAAGATATGTTTTGGTGCCTGATGTTTTTAGCTACTTTATTGAAGTTGTCATCTCGAGTGTGTGTAATTTGATTCATATGATGAAATGATGACATATGACACTGTAAAACCTGTCACCTTGATGCTACATTTTGTTGTATACATCAGCACTTTCAGTAAGAATTCAATTGAAGTAATGAATTGTTAGAAGTCATTTTATAAAATGGCACAAATGAAATGATCTCAGTGCTTCTTCTTTCTATGATTCCTTACTTTGAGAAAAAAATGTTAATGTCTATAAACATTAACTAAATGTTAGGAAATGCTTAGAATTCTAACATTGATGCAATGAAAATGTATTCTCTTACCAGGGCGTTTCCTGGCCGAAGTGACAAAGCAAGTTTTGTTAGACCTGGAAGCAAGTAAATACCAGGTATTTTTTACTTGTATGCTTTTGTCAGTCTATGATATCATTGATATGTCTATTTTTATCAATGATGAGAGTGGTAATGGGGCCATTTTGTTCTCTAGCCAAATGTTACATAAAATAAGGTGGTCCCTTTCAAGTTCTAAAAGAGCCTGTTTGAATAATGATGACTGTTGATCTCATGTTACTTAACATAAGTTACTGTGGTGTAATTCCAGAGGTTCTAATTTGACCTTGCTCCTTTCAGCTGGCCGAGTACCGAATTTCAATTTACGGGAGGAAACAAAGTGAATGGGATCAGCTTGCAAGTTGGTTTGTAAACAACGAAATTTACAGTGAAAATGCTGTTTGGTTGATTCAGGTAACGGTGAAAATTTACAATGAAATCGAATATCTATTTTGGCATGTTGGATTTTCTGAAGATTTATTCTGCTCTTCCGATTAGTAATACAATCAAGTTTCATGGTTGAAATATGCAGTTGCCAAGATTATACAACATCTACAGGAGTATGGGAACAGTAACATCGTTTCAGAATATACTAGACAACATCTTCATTCCACTTTTTGAAGTCACAGTGGATCCAAATTCCCACCCTCAGCTGCATGTTTTCTTATTGCAGGTGTGCTTCGTATTCGATTACCTATAATAAATGCTTCTTAAATGATTGTCCTTCTGTACTTAATCTGCTTCATAATTATTCGCTCCAAATTACTAAAATTGTTTTTCCGTATGCAGGTTGTAGGCTTTGACTTAGTCGATGATGAAAGTAAACCCGAGAGGCGTCCAACAAAACACATGCCCACTCCATCCGAATGGACGAACGCATTCAACCCTGCCTTTTCTTACTATGCTTATTATTGCTATGCAAACTTATATACACTAAACAAGGTTAATCTTTCTTACTATGCTTATTACTGCTATGCTTGTGTGTCAATTCAAAATTTGCCGCCTAAATTTACTTCAATTTTTGTTAATTGTTATTTTCTCCTTATTTTCTACCAGCTCCGTGAATCAAAAGGATTACCAACGATCAGATTTCGGCCCCATTGTGGAGAGGTTGTATTCTGATTCAACATATCTTATATTTTTTTTCCAGAATGCTTCTAAAACTATGTAATGCAGGCGGGCGATGTTGACCATTTAGCTGCTGGGTTCCTTCTATGTCATAATATATCGCATGGAATAAATTTGCGCAAATCTCCAGTCTTGCAGTATCTATACTACCTCGCTCAGGTTTGTTCATCAGTTTGATTTTGCCTCATCACCTTGCTAAAAAAAATTATGTGTTATGAAATTAATGAAAACCGTCAACTGATTCGAATATTCAGATTGGTTTAGCGATGTCACCACTGAGCAACAACTCGCTCTTCCTGGATTACCATCGGAACCCATTCCCAATGTTCTTCCAGCGTGGCTTGAATGTCTCCTTATCGACCGACGATCCCTTACAAATCCATTTAACTAAGGAACCCCTCGTCGAAGAATACAGTGTAGCTGCAAAGGTTCGTTTCATTCTGTTTTCCTCCATTCTTCATGATCAATATATATAACTTGGGCTAATTTTTTCGTCGATCAGGTATGGAAGCTTAGTTCGTGTGACCTTTGTGAAATAGCTAGAAACTCCGTCTATCAGTCTGGTTTCACTCATGCTGCAAAGGTTAGAATCTTGAAAACAACAATTTTCCCATAGCCTCTCGGGTTTACTTAAATAAACTTGAAAATAGTTTAGTGGTAACAAGAAACGTTTGGATTGTTTTCGTAGTTGCACTGGCTTGGAGACGAGTATTTTTACAGAGGGCCTAGAGGAAATGATATACACAAGAGTAATGTGCCAAATACCCGAATTTCCTTCCGACACGAGGTAACCAATCTCTTTCTTCCTTCTTCGTCTTCACCGTACGAATACATGATTGAAAAATTGTAGTTTACGTTCTTACAGAAAACTATTTGAGATTATTCTGCTTCCATTTATTTGCAGACATGGATGGCGGAGATGCAATGCGTCTATGCTGGAAAAGCCAGAGTTCCCGAGGAGGTCGACCACTAATAGATCATTTTCGGGGGGGAAAAAAAACTAGATACATTATTTATTTATTTATAATTTTCACAGTTACATTGTTGCTCTTAATTCATGAAATGAATTTTGTCCATTAACCAAAATTTTGAGTTAATTTTGCTGAATAATTGAGTGATGTAGAACCATTCCACATTGCATAAGATCCAACTCCTTTTCTTTGCTCATATATAATATATTTTCCACTGGAAAAATCTATTCCCATATATTCTGATTTTTTTTCATTTGTAGTATGATGACGTCATTAATATGTCATCATGACGACATTTTTTTATATATATATAAAGGTTTTCACCGGTGCAAATGCAAATCAAATATTAACAAAAATAAAATAATAAAAATAAATCATTTTTAGTAGGTCCCACCTGGGTCCCACACCCGACCCGCTGTCTGCTTTCTTTCTCCCAAAGCCGTTTCTGCTGCTTCAGAAAACCCGTCCACCCCCAAAATTCCCATCATCGGCGGCCTAAACCCTTGCACCTCCGTCTGATTATCCATCCGTACTCCAACCAATTACCACAAATGGCGGCGGCGGCGGCGGCGTTCTCTTCATCCGATATCATAACTGAAGGCCCCGTCCTTAATCTAATCAACAAGCGCCTCCGCGCCTTGCGCAAAAAGATGAACCGCATATCGCAAATGGAGGAGTCTCTCTCCCAAGGCAAAGCCCTCAACAAAGAGCAGGAGGAAACCTTGCGATCCAAATCATCCGTTCTCGCTGGCATTGACGAGCTTGAAAAACTCCGCCAGCCCCTCTCGGAAGCCGTGAATCAGGAAATTCAGCTGGCGTTGGAGAAAAATACGCAACGTTCGGAAACCCTAACCGGTGAGAGGTCGGACGAGGAGGAGGATGGAACCGTGGAGCCTAATGCCGGTGGGGAGAACGACGGCGTTTCTGCTCTTTCCGATCTGCTTAGTTTGGTCTACTTTGGAAGCATTTTCGATGTGCAGGCTTTAATGAGCGCACACGACAACCTGTTGACGAGGACGCATGAGAGGAACTGCTGCCTCACATACGATTACGTGACCGATGATGATGCTGAGGGCGATCCTTTGAGAGAGTGGGACTTGGATTTGATTGCAATGATGGGGGGTCTCTTGATTTCGCGGCCGGTGAATTCGTGCCTGTCGCACAAGGATGCGCTGCAGAAGTGTGTGGAACATGCGAAGCTATGGCTTGCGAATTCGGAGCAGCCCATCGAGCCCGATTCGGATATCACTTGTATGAAATTTCGCCATTGCTCTCTAGAATTCCACTTTTTGGTCTTTGAATGTGTTGGGTTTGATATTTCTGCTCTTTTGCTGGTCATATGTGCATATTGTGTCGTAAATTTTAGTTTTCTTGAAGTCATTTTTCATGTGGGTTTTCTTGTTCTTTGAAGAAATTGCTTGCTTAAGGTGGAGTAGTAGTCTGATTAATTAACTTTTTTGTTAATTATACGAATAAATCATCTTTGGTGCGTATGATGGTGATATAACATCCATGACTGTGTTAGTATGTATGTGTTTATATCAATTCATAGTATGTGTTGGGATACATGATTTGGTAGTTTTTGTAGTAATGTCAGGGTGAACACTATAGTAGCTTTTGTCTCCAGAGAATGCGTTGGGAAGTATGTTTGTGTACCTAGGTAAAGTACTAGTTTACGTTGTTGATGTGGTCTATGGAGCTACGATCAGGGTGTATCCATGCTAAGCCTAGGGAGAGCTAACCCTGGCCCCAGAACCCCCGTATACCTTTAGCCTACCTTCATCTCCGCCAGTGGCTATGATATCAGGATGAGCAATAGCTTTTTGTGGCTGAGAATGAGCTGGGAAATTGTGTGTAATGACACAAAGTACTAGTTTGTGACTTTGTTGTTGTCGATGTGGTCTGTGGAACTGCATGTCAATCTGTACAAGGCAATACTGTTCCAACTTATTTGTGTATTTATATGGGTTCTTATGTGTGATGCCAACCTAAGAATGACAGCATGCAATTGGTAATTTTTTATGATGACTGAGTAATATGGTGATGTTTTCCATGTGGGTTTACTTGCATCTTTCCTTGAAGTCTGAGAATATTGCGTCCTCTTTTTAGTATTCAACACCTGAATAGGCCAAGAATTTTCCTACTTTAGCATGAGTATACTTTCACATTGTTCTTTGCTTTATCAACATTCTTATAACTGTAACCTGTGGTTTTTTTAGGAATAGAATTTATTCAATGTAACTCTTTCTAAAATAGTACATATTATGCCAAGGGAAATGTTTGTATCAATGCTAAGTATATAAATGTAAGTTGCTATGGTAATGGTTTTTCTTTTATTTTGGTGAAGTTGTTTTGTTGGCTGGAAGACATTTTTTTTAAGTGTGAAATATTTTTTAAAGAACTTTGAACTTTGAAAAAGTTATTTTTATAATGTTTTTCAAAATGTTGAATTTTTGTCTATTCCGTATTGTTTTCTACTTATGGGTGCCATTTTAGATGCCTGGTTGAGAGAGAAGCTAAACAGAATTATGGCTTCGGACTACTACACAACTATACCAGAGATAAGGGCTCCTGTTGAAGTGGCTGCAACTGGTGGCAATTATACTTCATTCCAGCTTCCGGTGCATGAACCTGTGCTTCCTCAAGTTGTTTCGACTGTCTCAGTAGAAGATTCAGCTACAGAGTATGACCAAGAGGTAAAAATAATATTTTATTGGGATTAAATTTGTTCTTGCAGCTTATATTTTGTGCGTGACTTTGCCAAGAGTACATTATTTCTTCCTCTTTCGTTTTTTTATTGACAATTTTCTGACGATGAATGCTTTTCTGCAACCATGTTGGCTGATCATTACGTGAAATAGGATGGGAATTACTCATTTTCCGATGTTAATTTAATAGGTCATTTGGCGAAGCAGATGGTTCTAACTCACCCTCAACCGTGCTGTGCGACTATGCTTTCGGAAGCTTGATGTTATAGGCTGATAAAGTTCTAACTTATGAGCATTTTAGACACTTGATCATATTATTAACTTTTACTTTGTTTTTCTTATTTTTTGTTGCTCCTTTTGCGTTTCTGATTGACTGCTTGACGCTCTATCTCAAGAACTGTTGATGTCCTTTATCTCTGCTAGTTAGGTAGACTCTAAACCCTCAATTATCTCATCTAGGACTATTGTAGTTAAATTTAGCAAATCTGTACGATAGAATGGGGATGTGTTATAGGCCTATTTAAAGACATTTTACAAAATAATCTTTTTTGTGCAATGAAAAATATAACAATTTTAGCAAAAGTTTTATTAAAAATCACGAATCATGTGGACTACGGCCACAACCCTGTGCCTGGGTTCTACTATATTCTGTGACTTGTGTCTGAGTGGAGATACTTTTAGACTAGCGGATACTTTTAGCTTGTTAGCGGATTTTAGTGATCTCCTGATTTATGCAGGAAAAGGTAAGGACCATACAATTATGGAATAGTATCTCCGTTCTTTATAGGGACACGTGATACACAGTGTTAAACACAAAGATACTATAAGTGAAAATGAATGTCTCTTTTGGCATCCAATATTTGTACTATCATGTTGTTGTTCCGTCTGTACTGTCGGAAAATAGAGACTGGAGAAAATACAGTCGAGGGAGAAAAAAATCGATCGTAAATCTAAGTCGTTCAGTATACAAAATGACTAGTGTAAAAAATTGGTGCTATTTATGTTACATACACAATAGATATATTTTTTATTCGTTGTTTTTGAAGTTTAAAAACGTTTCTTAAAAGAGAAATTTTATTTCCTTCAAAATATTTGAGATACTTTGGACGTTCCACGCCGTATTTTTTCTTCACTTTTTTGTTTTTAACCACCATTTCAGTTACTACTTTATATCCCGAATATCATTTACTCTTGCTAAGGAGTAACTCAATATTTTGAGTAGAAAGCCCAAATCCACTCATTAAAGTGGTGTATCGTGTTTTCATACTTTTGTTTTTGAAAATTCTCTTTTTTAAAACATTTTTTTGGGGAAGGGGGGAGGGAGAGTTATACGTAATCTCAGCATGCAATGCATTTATCTCTGTGGATCATGGAATTACTACAAAATGTTGTGCACGAGTATATGGCGGCGAGTAACAAGCAAATCATAGTGATCCTCTTGAATTTATGCAGAAAAAGGTAAGGGCAAGGTATTTATAGAAAATGTTTGCACTCAGGTGCATCTCATTTATAGATAGACATGAAGGCCAAGTTAAATACGACGATGCTTGAATTGGTAGATATCGGCACCAAGTCACGGAGGTTAACTCGCAAGGGTCTTTACACTATTTGGTAGAACTTACCTAAGGAGTCGATTCCCATTAACCCCTTAGTCGGAACGTGATAATCTGCTTTCCCGTGAGCAATTGAGTAGTTCTCCACCAGTCGATGGGTTTAGGACTGCGACTTCCGTGCCAATTATTTTCTCTAGGTTAAGAAATCCATTTTGTCGCCTTTCCTTGTGAACATTGTTCAGCCCACCGGAGCTTGTTCACCTTTAGAGACTTAATGTTGTTGTTTTTTTCTTTTTCTAAACAATTTTTTGGAAGGGATGAGTTAGGCGTGTAAGTTATCTCAGCATGATTTGCGTCGACCACTGTATTTAATGGAATTAATATGAAATACTGATTTGGTTGTCAAGTGAGGAGTTGTGCACGAGGATAAGCTCAGTTAGTTACACTATCGAAGATTAGGGTACAGTAAATGATATTGGATTTCATGCAAAAGAACATTTACTCACCTTACTCTTTTGGCTGTATCTTATTTTCGTAGCAAACAATGAAGTTCTGGAAGTTCGTTATATTACCGAATTTCCAAAAATGGTCTTCTGCATTAATTCGTGCTTTTATTTTCAGTTTAGAGTTACAAGTTTGTTAATCTTTGGTATTGCCTGGTAGTTCTCCAATATTCGTCTTCCCCTTATTATTCTGCTTGGCATCGTCATAGCTTTATCTTAAACATTTGTATAGAGAAGCATTGTTCTGCATAGAACGTTTGGATTTGCTTTGTCAAATTACATAATAACCATACAAGTTCATCATTTGTTCCTTCCGATGTTTGCTTTTCTCAATTTATCCATTGCTTATCAAATACTAGTTCTAAAAGTGTTCATTTATGTCTTATGATTATGCCATGATATATTTAATATATACCCGTTTTGGCTACATTACTCTGAATATCATTTTGTTTTTTTATTCATCTTCAAGTTTACAATTGTATTTCATTTTCTCTTTCAGGAAGAAGAATCGGAGAATTCTGATGACAACGATATCGACAATCAAGAAGCTTGCCCGATTGAAGAACTTAAACAGGTTGTATTTATTTTTGTCTTCTTAAATGAACAATGGTCATGCAAAGATTCAAAAGAATTATCCTCTTTAATCTCTTTTATATGCTACGAATAGTTATCCCAAGTATATCTGTTCGTTTTGTTTTTAGGAAGGATCGGAGGTAGAAAGTGTATCAGAACCCCAGGCTCAGGGAATACCTGATACACAAGTAGATGAAAACTCGAGGAATATGGACCTAAATGTCCAACAACATTCCAATCGGGGGCCATATCATAATTACAGAGGTGGTCGTGGTGTAAGGATTTATGAACAGTCTGGTAATTATTACCCAAGGAACAACTACAGAGGCAGAGGTAGCAGGGGTATGACTGGTAATTACAATCTCGATGTGCCAGCTAGTCTCGATGACCGCGTTCAGCATCCGTCTTAAAGGAGGTAATTTTTCGAGTCTTGTTTTGTATTTAAACGAATGGGAAAAAGTACAACAATCATTAGAAGGGGATGAAATCGCGTTGAACTGGAGATTGATTTCTTCTGTTCTTTGTGTCTTAGATTTATATTTACGTGCACTTGTGTTGTTTAGTTGGTTTGCGTGTAGAATTTGATCGATTAGGACAGGTGATCTTACAGGCGTCGAGTTTATTAGGGCATGGAATAACGTTGTATGTAAACGTTTGAACTTTTGTTATGTAATTACTTGTACACTAAATATCAATCTTGTTTTTGGCAACCAATTAAAACATACACCATTGTTAGCATTCAGTATCAGTTGGGCTGAATGTGTAAGAGTGATTTAGTTGGTGGAGTAAGACGAGTGTGGCGTTTAATGATCCGAATTCAATGCACCTTGCCGAAATTGTACGTTGCTTGTTTAGTTGAGCTTATGCTTTGCTTAGTGATTAAGTGAATATTAATTGGGGAATCTTTATCCTGTAATAAAGAACGATATTTAATTTCGAAATGCACAGAAATCTCGAACGATCTCGATAAATTAACGATAATTATTTTGCCGTTAGCAATTAATTAAAAAATGATCCTCTCTAATGACGAGCGTAATTAGTATATTATTGTTAATTATTATTATTTGTTAACAGGACATTATTCCTAAACCTTTTTACCTTTTGTAAAGCCAACAGCTGTTTTGATCCTAGAAATCGAATGTCAATGCAATTGCAAGACAACCTAACCAACTAAGATATTATTTAGATCCGAAATTAAATTTCAAACTTGGTGAGAAGTAGGAATCGAACCTCCGACCTAAATGTTATCAGCGTGACAATCGCAAAATATCCATTTGTTCGGCTAAAACTCGAAAGAATCCATAATGAAGTGACTTTTGTGCGCGAACGATGGTGCTCAAAACCGGGACCATTCCAAGAAAATGCTCTTCCTTTGCTGTCACACACACACAAGCACACACACACCGTCAAACAATTAATTTAAAAAAAAAAATGTGTAATTTTCGACGTGGAATCTCGTTGTTTTCAGACTATAGGCGAATGCAAAACAACTTCTGCCCCCAAGGGTAATAATTGGTCGTGGCAACTTGTTTTAGTTACATAGTACAGTTGGTCACCATCGTTTTCGTGTCCAAAGGAATGTGAACTATATTCCAGATAATGATCGATCTGTACATAATAATAATACGCCGAGCTTAATTCTGTTAAGGGAGAAAAACTTATTCTTGTCCAGCTTATCAGATAAAGGCGTGTTCGTTCCATACATCTTCGGCGTGTTGTTGCATGAGAAAAATGAGAACCCCGAAAAACACGAGATTAGTTACTTAACATTTGATGACGTTCTAAAATAATATAACGATGTGTTAATGCTAATTATACTTTAGCAATAAGAGTACTAAATTAGTACCAAATCTTTCCATATTTAACATCAGCGGTCGACATAACAAGCGGTCCCAACGAGAACATATTCTGCAGTGTAGTGTGTAATAAAAAAAGACAGCTAAAGAAAGAATAGCTGCTACAATCAACCATTATAAAAAGCGCCTTATAAGCGATATTTATATTCGAAAGACTCATCAACGAGAGAAGACGAAGGAAAAAAAATAAAAAAAATGGGGGCCAATGTTTCGACTGTTTACGAGACCAATGGAGCGACAAACACCATTGAACGACAACCGTACAAGAAAAATCAGGTTATTGCAGTTCACTCCTCGTCAAACTGGAGAGTCCATTTCGAAGCCTCCAAGCAAACTTCAAAACTGGTAAAGTGTTGTTGCATACGCTTTAATTCATCTCACCATTTTGTTTTTTTTTTCAATCTCGACTTTTGGGGGTTATATTTTTACTAACAATTTCTTATTTGTCGAAGATTGTCATCGACTTCACAGCTTCTTGGTGCGGGCCATGTCAGTTCATTCTGCCGTCTGTCAATGAGTTTGCTGAGAAATACGGAGATGTCGACTTCATCAAGATTGATGTTGATGAGTTACATGTATGTATATACACTCTTTTTTTTTCTTTTTTTATAAATATTTTTTTGTAAGTAATGAAAATTGAGAATGAATATATATATATGAACAGGATGTGGCACAAGAATTTGGAGTACAGGCCATGCCAACTTTCATACTGATGAAGGGAGGGAAAGAAGTAGACAAAGTTGTAGGGGCAAAAAGGGAAGATCTCCAAAAGAAGATTGAGAAACACAGATTCTGATATATATGTATACATATATATATCAATAAATAAATTAATTAATAAAATAAAACTATGTTTATGTTCTAGTCCTAAAGAAGATTTTGCAATAAATATCAAAAAACTTGACCAGAAGCTGAAAGATAAAAATCATCTCTTCCAACAAACAATACAAGATTAAATAAGATCCACTTCCCTCAATGAACAAGAGGGGGGCATTATTGTATTTTACAGATTCGACATAGCAAAAGCCAAACGGTTGTCTTCGACAGCCGATATGGCTGTGTGCTAAGTTAGACCTAAATACTTCTAAACATTGCCCGAAAAAAAAAAAAAACCGAAAAAGAGAAGCCCTCAACAAGGTCTTTTCTTTGGCTACTATTCACAATTCTGAATAAGTCAGGTTATATATATACACTTACGGCAGCAAATTCGTAACCATTCGACCGAAGAATCAAATCGAACAGTTATCCAGTTGTCCTGCCCAAAACCCTTCTCAAATCGGACTTTTGATCGGTAGAAAGCCTCGAAGGGAACTTAACGTCGAACTTAATCCTCAGCTTCCCATTTTTACCAGGCTCTTTCGAAATCGGCATTCCCTCGTTTTCAATCACGACTTCTTGACCAGGTTTGACTATGTCCGATAACGTAACAGGCAGATCTCGACCGTCCAAGGTTGTTATGCTGAGAGTTTTGCCTGTGAGAGCATCTAAAAGGGATATTCTCTGGTTGATGATTAGATCGTTTCCGTCTCGTTTGAAAACCTTGTGGGGCTTTTCGTCAATAACGAAGATTAGGTCACCGGGAGCAGCACCGGTTTCGTGGTTACCTTTCTCCGGGAATGTGATCTTTGTACCCTTTTTCCAACCGGGTTTTATGTGTATCGACAAGACCTCTTCGACTGTACCGGGTTTACTGCAAGAACCATTTTTTAATTAGATATCACATACACAAAATTAATTCTCGTTCAAAAAATTTCCGTTTACCAATCCAGTGATGGCAACGAAGACTCGTTCAATGAACCCAATTCAAATCAGAAAAGGTTAACAGCAACATTATTCAATCCACGGAAAACGGCATTCGAAATTAACGAATCCAATTTCTGAAACGATTTCACGGAATCCAAAATGAAAATGAAAAGAATCATTCATAAACATGAAATTAAACAATCGGAACAGCTTACCAAGACACATATACGTAATAGTTTCATCGTACGATAGCAACGAGACGCAACTACGTAAATTCCCTGCTACCATAATAGGAACTTTATAAAAAAACCGACGAACATAAATAACAAGGATTCCATTAGTAGCACGTCTTAACTTTAAATGAAACGACCCGACTATAATCGGCAATGTTCCAAGTGATAGATACACATACGTGCATAATTTAATCGAAACGTGCGGCAAAATCTCTTTTCCATATACGCATACAGATATAAAGCCACTCAAATTTCGATGCTGATCCAGAATACCATTTCTCAATCTATTCACATCCCTAACACATCGACACCCAACCGAGATCGCCTCAAATCGCAACCGTACATAAATTCAATTCGATTACTAATCAATCTGAAAATTCGATTAAAACAAAATATAGTCAACGAACAAATCAAATCACATAATTAAAAGTCCAAAATGTACCTACCCAGATTCATCAAGAACGATTCTTGATATCTGCATCTTCCTCCTCGAACCCTTGTACAATTCCTCCAGTGTACACGGCAGCTTATTCTCCATAGCCGCCGCCTTCTTCAACCTCCCACCGCCGGCGGAGATCTTCCCTTTCCCAACATCATCAAACCCACCGAAAAACTCCTGGAAAATATCGTCAGCATCCCTCGGACTAAACCTGAAGCCATTGCCGCCGCCCACTCCGGCATCCCTATCAGTGGAATTCGGCGCCGGGAAACCGGAAATCAGACCTTCCTCGCCGTACGAATCGTAGATCTGCCGCTTATGCGGATCGCTCAACACATCGTAGGCCTCGCTAATCTGCTTGAATTTGGCCTCGGCTTCCTTGGTGTTGACAGCATTCTTGTCGGGGTGCCATTTCATCGCCAATCTCTTGTAGGATTTCTTCACAGCATCTTCAGACGCATTTCTCGAAACTTTCAGTATGTTGTAGTAATCAACGCCCATTTTGAATCTCCTTCCTGACAAACAACAGAAAAACAAAGGGGGAAAGAGAGAGAAAAAAAAAGTAAAAGGTTTCTCCTTTTCTTCCTTGCTTTCTGTGCACTAAACCTTTGCTTCCGCACAAAAAAAAAATGATAAAAAAAATGGGGGGTTGTATAACGTGTGTGAGTAATGGAGGAGTGCTTCTATGGGGTTCTAGAAGGTTGCGAGAAGTGGGTGTTGTTCGTCAACGTTGGAGTTTCCGGATGGCGCACGCTAGCGGAGTGGCGGGTGTTGCGCTAAGGTACGCGGTTGTAGCGATATTTTTTAAGGGAAAAAATGACAGGCGTCTCTCTCTCTCTCTCTTTGTGAGAAAAGTGGCTGATGAAGGGCGTGAAATCCTAGGGCGTGTTTGGGAATGTTTTTTTTTTAATATCTCGAAAAACAAAAAAACACAAATATTTATTATATATATATAGTTAATTTCATAAATTTTCAGCAATTTTTACAAGTTCATTACCATATTTAATTAATAAAATACAATACATGTTCAAAATTTCATCACCCAATTTTTTAGATGTTCACAATTACATATTCATAAATTTATTCCACACGATGTCGTAAACTGCGTGGTATTTTGTGGCGTCTGAATTAATTAAGATGCATTTGATGGTTTGTGATGGGGCCCATTTGAAGATAATGGGTTTACATCATGTGGGCCTATTTCTTGTAGGCCCATTAACAGGGATCTATTTGGGCCCATTAACAAATTGTTGGTTTTTTGGGTCGTCGACAATATTTGCTATAAGATTTGATTGAAACCAACTAAAATCATTTGATGATTTTATATACATTTCTAACTCTTTTTTTTTTTTTCTTTTTTTAGTTTTTTTTTTCTTTCAAAATTTGATATGTTTAGTATACATCAAATGACTACAAATAGCTATAATCAACTATAGTCATTTATGGCCGACCAATTATGAATATACACCAATATCACCGCGGATAATATACGAAAAATCATTCATCTGCATCAACAATAAAATTCACAATGTAAATATACATATATTATAAATCAATTCATAACCACTAAATACAAATTTGAAACACAATCATATGCATATGTTAATATTACAACATTTTTCTATGCATAAATTTAAGAGTGGTGCTATTTCCACCTTCAAATAATCTCAATTCTCCACCAAAGATTATAAAATATCATAAATACCCCTCAAATTTATAATCCATTATCTTTCCTTATATTTACTTAATCCTCATGTATTCTAAGTTATGTCTATTTTATTTTATTTTTTTAATTTTTTTTACAAAGAAATATTTATTACAAGACACTTAAACTTCCAATTGACCAACAGATTATCTAATTTTTATTTTAGGAAACGAAATTATATTAAGCCAAACTGACAAATTCTAAAGGATGTCTAGGACTTTCCATACAAGCAATCTTAATATATTTCTCAAAAAATCGTGAATTCCTGCTCTTTTTGACCTTCGAAAATATTTTTCTCTGATGAAAGTATTATTCACTTATGGTGAAGAGGGTGAGATTTCCAATAAAAAAGGTGGAATGTTTTTAATAAATATTTTAATTAGTTTAATGGTAGATGGTTTATAAATTATAAAAAGTATAGATGAAAGAAGAAAAAAAAAAAGATAAAATTTAAAATATATTTAATTAGGGGTGGAATAAAATATTTTAAGAGTGGAAATAGCACATCTCTAAATTTAATAATATGTAGTTGTATGTAGTTTGTAGTCGATTATAGATCTAAATACAGATGTCAAATTCGTCAAATTCGTATTTACCTTTCAACAAGATTTTGGGACCTTTTAAATTAGTTGTAATGAAATTGAGAAAACGGATAGAGCGAATTAAGTTGAACAATGGCCACGGTTTCAGCCACTGCGCCACCACCGGCAGAAGTCTCCACCTCGCCGCCGCGCCACCATCATCGCCGCCGTATACTTCACATCTTAACCCACTCCCCCATCGTTTCCGTTCCTCAGCTCAAACAAATACACGCGCAAATCCTCCGCACTGCTCCAGCACCACACCCCACTTCCGAAACTGCATTTCTTTACACCAGGCTCCTCCATTATTCCTCCTTAAAAGACCTTGTCTACACTCTGCGAATCTTCAGCCAAATTCCAGACCCCAACACGTTCGCTTACAACACTCTCATTAGAGCCTATGCTCATAGCAAAGACCACAAGAAAGAAGCTTTTTCAATTTTCCGGCAACTGCTGAATCAAGAGGGTTTGTTTCCAGAAAAGTACACGTTCCCATTTGTGCTCAAAGCTTGTGCTTATTTGTTTGCTTTGGATGAAGGGAAACAAGCCCACGCGCACGTATTGAAACATGGGTTTGGGTCGAATGTTTACGCGAACAACAGTTTGATTCATTTCTACGCCTCGTGTGGACAATCGGAGAGTGCGAGGAAAGTGTTCGATAAAATGCCAGAGAGAAGCCTGGTCTCGTGGAATTCGATTATCGATGCGCTTGTGCAGATGGGGGAGTTTGATGAAGCTTTGAGAATGTTTGTGGAAATGAAGCCGTCATTCGATCCGGATGGATACACGGTGCAAAGCGTGATCGATGCTTGTGCTGGTTTGGGGGCGTTGTCTATGGGTATGTGGGCACATGCATATGTGTTAAGAAACTGTGAAATCGATGCTAACTTCGATATCCTGGTCAAGAATTCTCTGATAGAGATGTATTGCAAATGCGGGTCTTTGAGAATGGCTCTGCAGGTTTTTCACGGAATGAGTAAACGGGATGTGAATTCTTGGAACGCTATGATTTTAGGATTTGCAGTGCACGGAGAGGCAGAGAGAGTATTCGAATTCTTTGACCAAATGGTCATCGAAGAAAGAATACAGCCTAATCCAATTACATTTGTTGGTGTCTTGAGTGCTTGCAATCACAGAGGTTTGGTTGAAGAGGGCCGTAAATACTTTGATATAATGGTAAATAAGTTCAAGATAGAGCCCGTTCTACAGCACTATGGCTGCCTAATTGACCTTCTGGCACGCAACGGGCTTATTGAGGAAGCCCTTGATATAGTATCCAAGATGCCAATGAAGCCCGATGATGTCATTTGGAGAAGTCTTCTTGATTCTACTTGCAGGCAGAGTGGAGGCTTGAACTTGAGCTTGAGCGAAGAAATGGCGAGGCGTTTAATGACAGACGAAGCAAATGCAAGCAGTGAGGCTTATGTTCTTTTATCAAGAGTGTACGCATCTGCCAACCGTTGGAACGAAGTTGGATTGATTAGGAAGCTGATGAGTGACAAGGGTTTGACTAAAGAGCCTGGCTGCAGTTCGGTCGAAATTAATGGCACTGTGCACGAGTTTTTTGCAGGGGATTCGACTCATCCACAGGCTAAAGAGATTTACCAGTTCTTGGATGTGATTGAAGAAAGATTGAAGGGTGAAGGGTATATTCAGGATTTCACACAAGCGCCTTTGGTCGACGAAGGTGAAGATGGGAAAGGGAATTCACTCAGGCTTCACAGCGAGAGGCTGGCGATTGCGTTCGGGATTTTGAAGTCGAAACCAGGTATTCCTATACGCGTATTTAAGAATCTGCGTGTTTGTGGAGATTGCCATAATTTTACGAAATTAATCTCTAAAATCTTTAATGTGGAGATTGTTATGAGAGATCGCCTTCGGTTCCATCGTTTTAAGGATGGTTCGTGTTCTTGTATGGATTTCTGGTAAGAAGCTGTAGTTTGATCGTCTTCCAAAATCGATAAACTACTAAATATATATACGTGTTCTATAGTTCGGAAAGAGGAGAAAAAAAGAGAGGATTATCCATACTTTTCTAAATCCAAATCATTTGCTTTAATTCACCAACCATAACACTAAACAGCTCACAAATCTACAAAATCCAGGCCAGTATAGAACAACGACAAAAAATCAGTTTAAACAAGGAAGAACAAAAGAACAAAGAATGTGAAGAATATATGATGTAGGAACCTAACAAGAAATAATATAACAGTATCTACTCCTATCACGCGATCGTATATACAAATGCTTTATGGGTATATATGTTTTTTTTTGGTGAAAAAAAAAACGTGCAGCTGCTTCGACGGTTGAGCAAAATTGCTGCGATTTCTGAATTATTCCAATCGGGGCATTCTTGATTACTCCGAATCTTCACCTTCTGATACAGAAAAAAACATGAAAACCGTGAGACAACATAATAGAGAGTCGAAGCAGTAGATATATTGAATCGAGTATAAAGTTAATTGATTCACGAGTAAAAGATTATTTATTACCTTGTGATGAAGGTGGAACCACAACGACGTGCATGTCGACATTATTAGGAGGAAGCTGCAGACGGAGAGGATAAAGTTTTCCGTTATTCAACGGACTTCGAGCGCACAAAGTAATACCGTAAATTCCCAATTCGACCTCCAATTTGCTTTTCAATTCATTCAATCCATTGCCCTTGAATGTAATTGAGAGCTCTTCAAAACCTTCGTCATATTTTCCGTCTTCATTTGCTATATGGAAATAAATTATCCTTCCATTGCTGCCCTTTGGGGGCGATACCCTTCTGCTACTGCCGCCTTTTGGAGGCGAGCTGACTAAAGAGTCGATCGACTGCACAGAATTCGAAAAATCGAATTAGTGAGCAACAGTAAATTGATATTTCAAGAAGGAAAGCTCGATTTTCTTGAAATATATACTTAAATTCTCATCTGGATATTCGATTTAGCTTTCATCTTAAGGTTAAATAGTAAGCTTTGAATATTCTATTAAACTTTTAACCAAAATTCAAATAATTAATTAATTAATCATAGTCTTGAATATTAGATTTAAGTAAACAGAATCTATCACATTAGAAAAACAGACAATATCAAGATTTTGTTCGATCAGTTACCTCTTGTCTGGAAAAGCTGGAGGAGTGAGAAGATTGGCTCCTAGCCGGAGAGGTGGACTGCGCCGAAGAAAAAGAATCTTCCTTCACCATCACAGGCGGCGGTGGCTGCGGCAGCGTCGGCGGCGGTGTTTTTCTCGTCGGTAACTGTGCCGAAGAAAAAGAATCTTCCTTCACCATCACAGGCGGCGGCGGCGGCGTTTTTCCAGTCGGTGACTGGGCCACCACAATCTCGACCACGTGGACCTCCCAGAGAACCCACTCGGTATCGTGGGTCACCGAGTTCCTCCACGGCGGCAGACCGCCGTTCGCCCTGAGATACTGGCCGTACCTCGTCTTCAGCTTAACGGCGCCTCTCTCCTTCACCGGCTCCCACTCGACGGAGCTGTCGAGCCGCTTGGGGAGAGTCTGCAGAACCTTCCGCCCCGTCATCCCGAGGAGAAACGGCTGGTTCGACGCCGTCAGGTACTTGCCGTAGCAGCTCTTGAGGCGGATGATGTCGTCGGAGTTCTCCACGAATTCGACGGTCCATTTGGCGGCCTTGGAAGACCCGCTGCGGCCCTGGGTGACGGACTCCTCGTCTTCCTCCGCCGTCAGGTACTTGCCGTGGGAGTTCTTCAGCCGGACGGCCTTAGCGTGGTGAAAAAATTCCATGGCGGTTGTTCTTAATTAAAGGGATTTTGATTTGATGGGTTGTTAGTTGTGTAACGACGGACAAAAAATGGAGTTTGGATTGGTATGGATTCAATGCGGATAAAAAGTATTTATACGTAGAAGATTCTAGAGAGAGAAAGAGGAGAGAGAGAGAGAGAGAGGAAGTTTCTTCGGATACAGAGGTGAACAACTAGTAGTAAGAGGCGCCAGCTATTAGTATATACGAGTAGACAACGACGTCGTTTATGTCCTAACGCGGCTAAGGGTATATTCAGGTTTGACACTCCACGTGGATTAACAGTGTTTGACAGAATGATAAAATAATGTTTGATTTTTTCATTAAATTAATGCCCTCACCTACTATTATTATTATTATTTATTTATTTATTTAATTATTATTAATAATAATAATGTATGCGAATGATGATAAACACTAAATTTCATCTCTTATCTTTATTGTAGATATTAATAAGATATTGATTTAAAGTTTTAGGAATGAGTAAGTTATATACAACTTGTATGCTATAGCACACCAAATTAGAACAAATAGTTTTGACCTTCAAACTGTAGGGGTAGTTGTCCTTTGACCAATGAAATAAAGGTCAACTAATCTGGTCAAGGTCAAATAAAAGGCAAAAATATAAAGAACTGCGTACATGCTTGTTTAGCTTGGTAGAAAGCTAAACAAAATTAAGCAGCACTGGAATTGGCTAAAATGGATTTTAATTTTTATTTATTTTCTACTTTTTTCAATCACGAACAAAGTATTTCAAAAAAGTATGGAACTTGAATTCAATTTATTTTTGCAGGTGTGCGAGATGCCGAGGCTACCTTTGCCGAGTCCCACTTCGACGGAGGATTTAATCCATCAATAGTAGTAAGTTGCTTTTGAGTTCGATTTTCATTACTCCGAATCTTCTTCTAATTAGTTCGACTCTGCTTCAGGTTGCCTGCTCACTCCTTGAGTCAAGCAAGTCTAACTGACTCAAGGGACGAACGAACCACTTATAGGGTTTCTGCCCCGGCTTGGGACTCACTCCTCCTTCTCACCTCATCGCGAATTGCAAGAGATATATAATTGAGATGGTTACTGTTTGCATCGATAGGCCGCCTTCACTATTAGGATACACGAGGTACATTTGTACTGCTCCAACTCCGAAACCAAATCCATACATTACGGATGCATAACAATAAAAATATCTTGTCCAAGTAAGCCAAAGGCAAACCAGATAATGCCCCGTTCAAGAACTAACACCAACACCGTCGCTCGTAAAATGACATAAACTCCACCCCGCTTTTGTTTTTTTTGTTTCGATCAACAAGAACAGTTACTTACTACAGATAGCGATGAAGAAAGCCAGTGACTACAAATCCACCGAAAAGCACACTCGAACTCCCATGCATCAAGAGTGAAACAAATGCAAAAATGATGATAATATAATCACCTCTACGACAAGAACTTTCCCCGCCCGATGAAAGAAACGTCCTCACGAAAATATTCATCGGTGTCAAGACAGAAATACCCCTGAAATCATTCCGTCAATGCCAATAATCGGAATCTAAATGAAATGCAGAATCTAGGAATTGAATTGGCCAACTCTGTATATTAGCTAACCAATAGTCCGTAGTTTACTGAACAAAGAATAATCAGTTGGAAAGATCTCAAGTGCAAGTCACGTGCCCCTGATATTTTGATATTTGTCCACTTCGGCTAAAGTTACGCTCTCTTGAATTTTATTTTTCATTAACAATGTTGAGAATGTTTGTCGACACTCAATCTTCACCCCGTTTTGTTCACGTGAGTGCCCCCATTTTTCCTCACCTCTAGACCCAACCGACCGACTAGGTAGGCCCC